GCAATCACGATTACGATTATGGAAAAATATCTGGATGCTATGGAAAAATAAGCAGGAAAACAAAAATAGTAATGAAATAATACGTCACGGCTGTGGAAGATTCCGTTTGGGATGGATTTGGATTGCGAAGGATAATGTGGATAAAGAAAGTGAAAACAGAATGATATCAATGTGACGACAAAAGAATTTGATTATGGACAATACGTCTTTTGGCCGAAACGTGCCGCGCACGTAGACCGCGCGTCGCACGTTGCATCTGTCGCTAGCAGATGATTGCGCAACGTAGCTTCGCTTTACGTTGTCGTTGTCACAACCAGTCGCCACTCGTCCATCCCAATATCACGCAAAGCGAAACAAAAGTATCGCAAAACAACGCCGATTTGTAGATGGATGTGTACGTCATTCGGGATTGCTCAGCACAAATCCGCTTTAAAATAAACATTACGAGATATTATTTGTTTCGCTTCTCCGACTAGACATTGAGTCTCTTCCTCGATCGTATTTTTAAAATAATATATTATTAATAGATTCCTATCTACAAATAGGGTTGCAAATCTGCAGCCCTAATGTATAAAATAAAAATTCCTAAAATAATCAATAATTAATAGACAACAAGATTTGTAGCGCTCCAATTGTCCTTATCTTTGAACAACTATTTTCATTTAAATAGAAGCTTCAATAATTTTCCTATTTGGGTGTATTTATCAAATCCTAATTTTTGATGAATTTGCTTCATCTTGCGTCATCTTTTAATAGATTGGAAATGTTGTGATGCAAATTGTTGTGTTTTCGATGTAAATGGTGCAATTATCGTCAGAATGTAAAGGACACTCAGAATGGACTAATTGTTAGAGGAAATTGTCGTTAAGTTAAGATTTTTTTTAAAATTTGATTAATCAGGTACATTTTCAGAACTTGATAACCTTAAACTTGCAGCTGCGATTGTTTACTGGATCCACGCAATCAATAATTTCCAACAATATCGATAGCCTTTAAACCTCTCTTGAGGTCGAAAGGTAAACCTAATCATGCACACCCTAATCTCAAAAGCATCGTTTCGGCACAATGCGATGAACCATTTTCGTTTTGTTTCGCACGTTCCGTTTGTTCCAGACAATCAGATAATCCACTAATTATGTCGATTCGTTGACAGTTATTTATTCTATTGTTTATATAAATATATAAATAAAAGTGATTTTGTTTTCGCCGCTTTTATTGTTATTTTCATATGAGCATTTTTTTTTTATTATTATTATTTTCGTTTGTCGCTTTGTTCAATTTCGTGCACGTTCCAAGCATTGTGATTTCCATGCGTACCCGTACTGTTTTTAATTGAATTCCAATGCGGAATTGATGCCACGCGTCCACGCAAATTTAATTAAGAAAAAGAAATAAATAAATAATTTATTGCTTCCGGGAACGACGTCAATTTCCTTTTCGCCACTTCGCAAGAAGCTCCTCTCATTCGGTTACGACATCGCCGCTCGAATCAAGGAAGGATCGTCGCTACTGTGTCGCTACGTCTACGTCTTCATGTTTGAGCGATACGTAAAAAGCCGCATGTCTTTTGATTCGTGGATTTGCATTCTTCGGAATCCAGCAAAGATTTTTTTTACATTTACAACTGAGCCGCCGAAATTGCTTCAACAATGCTTCCTTCAAGGTCACGCGTCATAATTACTTTAAACAAATTATTTTGTATACACACAGCACCAGTATCTCATACCACGTGTGTCTATGTTATTGTTAACATTCATTTACTTAAGTCTTACGGAAAGTATGAAAGTTTAATATAAATAAATAATGTATATATTTTTTTTTTGTAATATGCAAATATTATCACTAATATATTAAGGCGTAATTTTCTAATTTCTCAAAGGTGACAAAAGGTAAATTTGAATGAGCTAGAATCCTTAAATAGATTATTTTTCAAATTTATAGTTTGAATGCATGATTAAAATATTTTTGCTTTTATTTGTAAAAACAATATATGTTCTCTGTTACGTCATATAATCATCTATTATCGTTAAATCTCGTATATAAAACACACCTAAGTAATATTAATTATTTAAGTATTGTATGATTTTTGCAATAAGTAAAACTTATGCGTGTTATAATCGAAATTTTATGTTTTATTTTAGAATTCGTTTTTCGATGTAGAAAATGTACAGTGAATTTTCCTTATAAACGACCCAAGTCAATTGTCTCCAAACGTAGATTTTTTTTTTACAAATAATAAATAGAAATGCGAGAAAACAAAATCATAAATATAAAAAATAAAACGATTAGTAATTAGTATCGCTTATATTGAGAATCCATTGTATTCATTTGATTACAATTTTGTAAGAACTAGGTAGAAACGCATCCGCCAGCTGTATTGTCGACCGAGATTAGGGTAGGTTATACCGACATACATTTTGCTATATTTAGGCTAGGCTAGGTTAGGCTATACCTAGGCGAAGCTAGGTTAGGCTATACCTAGGCTAGCCTAGGTTTGGCTACACCTTCAGACATGTCGATATACCTACGCGAGATGGAAATTTCGATGAAGGAAGCTACAGGAAACTATACCGACTTAAACAGGATGACAAATGGAAAGAAATATATAAATAGGGGATAGTTTTATTAGTAAGATCACGTAGCTGGTGGATTCCCCAAGCGGGAAATACCAGGATTCGGCCAAATCGTTGGTCACGATAATAAGGACATCTCAAATATAGAATACTTGTAAATTAAATTTAGTGGAAAGCCGCCGTAGTATTTTCGAAGCGCGTTTCTAAAATTAGTCGTCGCACCAATGATAATGTTTATCTCCGGTGATTATCGTTAAAAAACAAACTGATAATGTGCCTTCTATGATAACAGGATAGTTGAATTGGTTGAACACGGGGGAGAAGAATAATACAAGCACAATTTATATTTATATAAACACGCACGCAAAAGTGAGTAAATTTACACACAAAACGTGTGATCGTCGGCAAGGGGGACAACGTAAGAAGAAAGATCCCTTTTTTAGCATGTCTCGTCATCTGTTGATCTTGCGAAAGGCAAACACAATAGAGACGGCCGATGCCGTACCCTGTTTGGCAACAGAATTGAACGACGTTAAACGATTGAGACAGGCGAAGCAAAGACAAACAACTCTGGCCGGACGGAATGAAGAAGTATAAGTGGTATAATCAGGAGCACTTGAGGTGCATAAATCGTAGGGCCACCCCCAGCACGTGAACTTGGATTCCGTCAGGTGTTTTTCCCTAAATTATTTATTACATAAAGTCTCATCTATTCTTTACTTATCGGAATAATGAAATTAGAATTAAGATTTAACCAAACCAAATATAACACATCTTCCAGATAATTATGTGAAATTGCTTATGGAAGTTCAATAGTTCCTGGAATATCTTATACACCTGCTTTAATGAATTTCCATAAAAAATCAAATGTTTTGTGTGAAAAAGCAATTACAAAGCGGTAATCCGCGAGCTTTCGAGGAGTTCGATCCTTCCGTGCTCTTCCCGGTAGCGCGATTTATTAGTTTGGTTTATTAACCGACGTCGAGCGGTTTTAACGATTGATTTTCGTTTCGTACGCAAAGGGCGAGCAGTAAAAGTTGATTTCGACGAGCTCAAAGTGTATTTCGTTAGGACACTCTCGCGCTATTTTAATTGGAAATCTATTTTCGGCTCCAAGTATAATGATTTTTAAATAACTTTTTAATTGTCCGAAGCGCTTCGCAACTCTTTTGTCGCATTTCTTGTCTGCTTAATCTTCTCTCCTTCTTTGTTTTGCTTCATTTTCGTAAAATCGAACGTGCAACTGCATTTTTGCTGCTAATATCTTCAAGAACATAAAATCGAAGCCGTGAATAACGGCGTTAAAGTTCAGCGTCTAATTTCAACACATTCCCTAAATTACAGAACGACTTTCACAGTTTCATTCTTCATATTTAATTTGTATTAATTCAATCTTTATATCTAATCTGATTAATTTAATGAATTGTCTTGAAAATTTACTGCGATTATTTAACAATCTTATCTTAAATTACAATGTATTGTATGAAAATTACAAAAAAATAGTTATTGTCAACTTCGTCTATGGGAGTGACAACATCTAACTAAATTAATCAAAAATTTAGAAAAAGCTTTACAAAATAATGCTAGTACAAATATATTGTATTATTTTGATTATCAATTCATTTATTAATATAATTTCAACGAAATTGCTTTTTTAATAGATTTGAAATGCTAATATTTACTAAACGATTAATTAAATCTATAAGTGCAGTCATTATCAAATTTACGTTTTTCTGTCTGTTTTGTATCAAATAGTTGAAATGAATTACATAATTAACTATACGATATCTTTTCTCTTGATTATTCATTTATTGAGAAAATAAAAAGTACTAGAAAAATATTTTAAAATCTAATAAATGATTAATAAGGCTTGTGATACGTCAAACTTTAGATATTGTATGTAATTTGTGAAATGTTAAACTGAAGTTTCACAAAAAAAATTGCAGGTGTAGCAGTCTCTAACTGTGTTTTTTGTACCATGATTCTATTGATCTATCAACGAAAACTGGTGAAATTATACTAGAGAATAAGCTAATATTAGATAGTTGTATAGTCTAAATTTGCTTAGAAGATGATGAAAGTGCATATGACTTTGTGATAGTCGAGGTAAAAATTGTGGAATGTTGAAGCTATCTTTGGATGTTTAGAATTAGGAAGTGGGATTAGAGAAATGTTTTTTGGATAAATTTGATGATCCATCCGGTCGTTTCTTGTTTGCGTTGCATCCATTCGATTCTGTTTTTTTGGTCCACCTCCAAGTGATGGATTATCGAGCCCGCTATTTTCGTGTGGCAATAAATAAAAAGTTTTAACTCATAAGGTTGTGCTGTGTGGTTAGGTTGTAGAGATTTCGGTGCGGGTGTCTTGAAGTAGGAGCGTCTGGGGAGTTCCGCGCAGTCGCGAGATCTCGGTATACCGCGAGGCGCTCACCAGACTAGCGCTCGAAATTTATTCGCCACTAAGTCTGCTTAGTGTTGAGTAGTGTCCGCGGCTAAGTCTAACCAAGTGCATCCTCTCGCGTCTACTACTACGACAACTACCAGTCGAAGACCTGCGGCTTCAGCTTGCAACCCAACCAACATTTACAAACCCGAAGACCAGTGCCTACCACGAGTAGCAAAAGCTTCCAATATTCAGCAACAGCAAAACATGAAAATGGAAGTTCTTAAAGTTGATTACAACACCAAAGGATACAGCAATTACGTCTCCGCCGACTACATTAAGGAGACCATCCGCAAGCACCTGGAAAGGTTCCTACCCAAGTAAGCATCTGAACCTTACTCTCATCTGAAAAAATACAAACAGCGAAGACACAACACTTTCACTTGGCTCCGCGCTCGAACGCCTCGGACCCCTCGATTGCACCGAAATCCAAAATAAATAACAAAAAACAAAGCGTTACGTAACCGTAGACACAAACGCACACAGTCGAGCACACGGCATGCATGCATTCGATTTCTTACCCGTAGGCCAATTCAGAAAATGATTTCTCTCAGATGAAGCTGCTGCTGCTGCTGCAGTCGGATCTTCGACCGGTCGTTATGTAAGCATCGGCTTCGCTTTTTTTGTTTGTTGCCGTAACAGAAACCTAAGTTCGCGCACGAAATGTTTTATTCACATGCCGTTCGAAAGCAAAAGGGGGTGGGGGGGAAATAAAAGGTGAATTCGTTTACGAAATAAGTAAATGAATATGTTTTATTCACGATGTCCGATTTGTGTCTGTTGAATTAGTCAAATTAGAGAAGGAACGGTGAAGTTGAAGAAGCAGGGAAACAAGAGGAAAAACACGTGAACGTTGTAACGCGTAACGTATTGAATGGAAAAATTTGTACAATTCCATTAGGTACTTTTATATAACAATTTTTCTTTCGATAAATTTAAAAATTCCACTTCAAAAGTACAAACGATTTTCAGACTAAACAAGATATTTCGTCAACTCCTGAGAATATATTTAACAAAGAACATTTCTGTTTCCATTTCCGTTCAAGTTTGCTACACTACTTTGTTTTCATTGACTAAATTTAACTTTGCTTATGAAGAATGAAGAAAACATGAATATTTAGTTTAACTTTTTACTTCCAGAAACAGAACATAAAATGTATTTTCAATGAATACGATTTGTCAAAGATAATCATTATCGAAAAAATATTTTAATTTGTTAAAAAAATGATAATCAATTACTTATAAATAATTAAATTTTCATTTCGAAAACATACCAGAAAACAACAATTTCGTGATTAAATTTGTTGTGAATATATTTAAATTGTTAGTCATTTTTCCATGTATATTTTCATTGACTTTTAAAACTTTTTTAATTATAAAATTATTTATCGGAAATGTGCATTTTCTAATTGCGTTTATTGGAATGTTATTTTTTTTTGTTAGTATGATTTTTTTTTATAGCGCGACACGGCATATAATTAGAGGAAAAAAAATATGTACATATGTAATAATTATTTGCCGTGCAATATAGAAAAAAATACATTAAACTTATTTATCTGTAAATTATCATTGAAATTATAGACACTTTATTTTAATTCGAAACTTCAGCTGTTTGGATACATTGTTTATTTGGATTGTTATATAATGTTTCCTCTATTTTCAATGAGTTTATCAATATACTAAATCGAATTTCAAGAAGTACACATATGATGTTTCAGCACGTTATCGTCTCCCGTGCACCTATTTATACATGATCGTCGCACAACGTAACACCCTAAGTAATTGCGTAACACGTATGAATGAAAGTGATCTCGCGTTGCGTAACGATGAGCCACCGGTGTCCTGTTCGAAGGATCCGTTGAGTCGAAGTCTCATTTTGCGATCGATCAAAATGCAACTTAGATTGTTTATATAATCATTAAAATGACTCAGATACATACAAAATTTATGGATTAAGATTTTACAAGTATCCTAAACAAATATATGAGTTTGTTATATAGCTGATGCACTCGCTTTGTTTTCCGTTTTCGTGTAAAACACTGTACCGCACTTTATCATGTTTAATTAGATTATCCTTTCGCAACGCTTTGTTCCCAAAACATTAGAGGTTACATAATCTCCGTGTTTTTCGTTAATTGTCACCAACTGTCGGATGATTTAAACTAGTGTTTACGAACATAATAAAACGTTTCACGTACACTTTAATAATTTCATTTAATTACTTAGATTTGTTGAATTTGTAAATTTTAACTGAAATATAGTTAAATTTTCTAATAATAAGTAGAAATGAAAATATTCTAAAGAGAAGGTTTTGTTCAAAATTTTCACCAATAAACAGATTTTTTTTGTTTCTTATATGCAAAATAGTGTTGAAGAAAAAAAAGAAGGTTAAATAAGAATAATGCCGTCCGGTGGACCCCGGTCTAACCCGTTTCATTTTGAAGACGGAAAAACAAAAGCGAAATAAAATGCATCGAATTTTAACGAATTCCATGCATACACACGGTCTTGGTGGACCCAACGACCCGCCATTTATTCGAGGCTCAGCAAAATGAAAGGAAAAACAAATGGCCGTTCGAAATTTGCAACTCGCCAGATAATGACAATTTAGAACAAGAATTCAACAAAACAATACAAAAATGCTTAGAATGAATACAATGAACTGTACAAAACAATTGTTTCTTATCTTGATAGAAAACCCAAAATGTTTTTGTCAATTTATGAATTTTTTGATTTTTATTTTGAATTTTTTTTTGTACTTTCCAGAAATATTAAATGAAAATTGTGTAACGTATGAAATGTCGAAAATCACTTGTAGTAAAACTATCTTAAGACTAAGTATGGAAAGAAGCCGTTGGAAACTAATTGGGGCAAAGACATATACAAAACGAGATTACGAAAGAGCATAGGAACAAACGATATCTGGTATAGGCGATGACCCAATTACATTTCCATCACTGGAAACCTTCGAAGTCAGTTTAATTGAGATCGTTTTGCGGTTTCCTCGACGTAACAAAGAAGAAACCGTGAAACGAGCCTCTCTTTTCATCTTCTTCTCAGCCATATACACATAGTACATAGTTTGTTTGCTTTTATATATTTTTTCTTCTGTTGCTTTCATCCCGTTGCAGCAGCTCTTTGTTTGGGCTTAACTAAACGTCCGCCTCTAATGACATAATTGCGGTTTCTCTTCGTTAGCGGTCTCCGTTTTCTTTGATCAATTAATTATTTTTTTATCGTTGAAATATTAATATTTCAAATCGATGATCGCACCGAAAGGGAATTCACGGTCAAGTGCTCCGTCTCCTTGGAATTCTACAGTTTTTGCTCCTCAATTACTTATTCCAAATTACCTGTCGTGTTGCACACATTACCCCTACAAGTTACATGAAACTATCGATTTGTCATTAATAACCTTAACGTCCGCTAACAAGCAATTACCCATATCCAAAGTCCTTCCATCTTTATCCTTAATAAAAGAAAATGATAATTATATTTGCTTATTTTTAACCATTCAAAATTTGCGGTTTGCTTCTTTTTCTCTCTAATGTTGTTATTTCACATCAAATTGAACTCACGTTGTCCCGACTTACTTAACGCTCCTTATTTAAATAATATCGAGGAGTTAGCGAAACGAGTTGAAGTAGCGGGATAAAGTAATGTAGAGAAGGCAACAATGAAGAAATAAATAAATAAAGCGACACGAATCGACGAAAATATTTACCTTTTTTTACAACTCGCTTCTTCTCTGCTCTCCAACGTTTAAAAGGCGAAATGTTAATATTAGATGAACAAACAGCGACATATCGACGCACAATAGCACATATTGAAAGCAAACAGATTAATAATAAATTCAAACACTCAATACTGTCGTGGGCAAATAGAAATGCATTAAGCTTTGAATAACGAGCGGAGCAGGTAACAAAACAGACGTAGATGAGAGAAAAAAAATCGCGCTGCTGTTGTTGCTGCTTGCACACGTGGCACCCTTTTTCAGGCGTTATTAATTTAAGCTACATGTGGAGAGTTGAGTAATAAAAATCTCGTGGCATTCAAAACTCTTCACCGTATCTCGTTTTTTTGCAAACTTTCTGCATCTTCTTCATTTTTTTTCCCATTTCATACTAGCCTTCGACGTTTGTTTTTACGACCCACGTGATTTTCGAATTTCCCGCCGCGCGTGTCCTTCGATTTCGCGTAAACCCGTTCGATTCTACACTCCCACGCCAAAGTTGCAGCAAAAAACATTTTTTTTTTAAATAAAAACTTTTATTAATTTCATTTTATTTTCCATCCAACTTTGATATGGACAAACATGTGGGCGCGATCATTAATCTGGAAGTCCTCAGCTAAATATAGACATTATGGTATAACGTTTTGTTTACTCCTATTTTCAATTTTGTAAAAGTTTTTAAACCTGTTGATTATCTTGTCTTGGCATATTTGCCAAGGAAATGAGTCAATTTCTTGAAGAAGAAAAAAAAAGAGCAATTTGTAAAATTTGTTATCTAACATAGTGGTCCTCTATTACTGTCATTTCTTATTCATGCAGGAATTTTTAGACGTGAGATTTTTTTGTAACAACACTTTCGCATTTATACTTGTAAGTTTTTATTGCTTTATTTAGTGACATTTTGTAAAGTGAGACTTTATATTATGTTCTGTGTAAATTATTTGTGATAATATCTCATTATTTCTTTTTATGGAAATTCTTTGAAAAATTATGGCAATTTTTCAAAATATTTTTTTTTAAACAAAAATGAATTCCGAAATATATAACTAAATAAATATAGATTTTATTAAAAACAAAAATTGGTAAAACTTTTATTAAACTTTTTGCTATTTTCTGATATTACTATTCAAAAATGAATGTTTTAATAAATCTAAATTATTAATTATTAAGATCTTAAAAATGTTCGATTTGGAAACGGAATGTCGAAGACCTTTCCATTTAACCAGACGTTTGTTTTGGAGGAATCTGACGATCAATCTGGATCCATTAATGCTCAATGCTCATTCCAGTTAGGTCAATAAAATCGCCGACCCTGTATAAAGTCGCCGATAGCCGAAAAATCGCGCGGAAAACAACAAACCTTTTAAATTGAGGATAATTCGAGCCCGATCCGTGCCAATTGAAGCTAATAATGAAACCGATCGACGAACGGTATATACGACTTTCGCTGTTTGCATATGTGTGTATATATATATTTATATTTTCGCGCCTCGAATGGAGCGTTCCGGCTTATAAATAATTAATGCGTAATTAGTTATTTAAATCGCAACGAAAACTTAAGTGTTTCGACATCTTCGGGCTCGGTTT